ACAATGATGATCCTGACGGTCAGCACAAAAACGTTAATAGCCACAAATGAACTCGAACATTATAAACTGATTTTTAACATGATCCCTGCTCACATAATCAAGAAATTAATTAATTAGTTCTTCATGCAGATTGAAAAATTTAAATCTGGAAACCATTATAATATCATAAACAATAAAGTACGTACAAACACACGCAACAAACACACTTCCACAACTTAAACACACACAAACACACACGTACACCCGTGCAAACACACTTACACAACTTAAACACATACAAACACACACGTACACACGTACAAACACACTCTCGCACACAGACACCCGATCATAACTGAATGACTGCGAAACAGTGATTTCAATGAGCCTTGCCAAAAATACAACACGTCCGATGAATAATTAATGTGTTGTACAAGCACAAACACATTTTGTCTGCCATGCACGTGCATGCACGCAAACGCATGCGATATCTCACCTGCAGAAATACTCTCACACATACCAACCCTTTAGTATTATACATATCGCATGTACATGGCGCGGATTTGCTTGGGAATAAACTATGCGGATAAAAGTTTGTCCAATTGCAACACCTTCAGAAAATTTCCAATTCTTAAAAAATTATTTCAACTTTTACTTTAAAATTTTAAACAAAATAATAAAGTCGAAAGTCTTTTAAAATCAGCCGATGTACAAATGAAGCAGAACCCCAATGGAGAACCAGCCATCAATGTGCAGCGGAATGAAGCCGGCGCAAAAGTTTGGGAATGGAGCAATAAAAGAAAATTCTCAAATATGTCATTGTGGCACATCCTGACACTACCAAGTGCCAGCTCAACCGCCGTAAAATATAAACACACAAGAAACATACAAATAAGCAAAAAATGTGAATATTTTGTTTATTTACATTTCATGTTTCGAGAAAAGCTTATCGTTTTTAGCTGTCTAAAAAGCAATGTTTTTTTTGTTTTTGCTGATCGCAAGGATGCACACTTCTAAGCAGGCAAATTTCATAACAACACAACTAATATTCCACCATCTGCCTGTTTGAACGAAATAAAATATTTTCACGATTTTATTGCAATGCAGGCAGTCTCGTGACTGTTGGCTGGGAAAGAAATGAACTTAATATATTATATTGAAACCAGGAGAGATAGAAATGTTGAATAGAAATAAACTTAAAAGTGGAAGATGTTGAAAGCATCAGAGTGCAGTGGAGCACCTCGATAGTTAGAAACATCAAACAGTGTCGCCAACACAACTACGGGCCTTGAGAAATTTCGTGCCAATCATCCCATGCAGTTGCAGTCTCCCATTTTGAAATAACTTTTACTGTAATTCAATGTAAGGATAGAGATAAACTAAAGATGTGTCATAAAATATCAGAAAATGTTTTCCTTCGTTTTAAAATTAATTAATTAAAAATTCAAACACAAATTTCAAGCGCAAATTAGTAGACCCCCATCTTTTTTTCTAATTTAACACTCAAATATTATTTGTTTAACAAATAAATTTTCTAACTTAATCTACAAAAATATTTAAATTTACCAGGAATAACTCGTTTAACAGTTCAAATTGTGGTTACTAAGAGGGTCTGATGTTAAGAATAAGCTATTAAATTTAATTTAAATTAAATCCGAACGACTTCCGATTCCGACATGCAAACGTTCACGCAAACGTTTCTTTTCAGCGTAACCACCTGCACCATCGATGAACTTTTTTTTCCTTCTAAAAAGTAAATTTTTTAAAAATTGTGTATTTATTGTGGATCAGTTAATTGGTCTTCAGTTGAATGTTTGAATCTTCCAGCCGTACATCTTTTTATGTTGAACGCTTAACCTCTACTTTTCTTTTTTAAATAATAAAATTAGTGATAATCTAATCTTGCATCCTGGCGAATTAAATTTAAATAATAAACATCAAGTTTATGAACGATGTATACTGATATAGCGATATGTGATACCGATATATATATATATATATGCAGTGGTGGATCTAGGGGGGGCCGAGGGGGCGTTGGCAAAATTGTTTCCCCCTCCCATTAAAATGTTGGTTCCATTTTAGCACAGAAAATGTTTTGAATGAAATTTGTGAAAATTCCCCTACCCCTCTCAGTCATCGACTTTTTTTTAGAAAACTTTTCTCCCTCCCGGTCGTCAAATATTTGTCAATATTGTCCCCCCCCCATGTCAAAGTTGTCTAGATTCGCCACTATATGTATGTAAACCGATATACCTTCTCTTCAGTTATGCAAATTTATCTCCTGTTGCAACGCCGGCGATTGTAATTAATTTTCCGCTAATAATACTCAAAAGTTTGTGTTCTGAAAACAAAAGTGATGGTTAAATCAAAAATTTCAGATTAAAAATGGCCGAAGTCAAATATCGGCCGAATATAAATTCTCAACCATTCACTCGAACTTTCACCACATTAATAAAATTTCAAAAAACGTGGAGAACCGGGGTATCGATCCCCGTACCTCTCACATGCTAAGCGAGCGCTCTACCATCTGAGCTAGTTCCCCGTCAAAGCAGAGCTGTTTACAAAGGTTACAATTTTTATTGACATTGCCAACTGAATAAAATACACAAAATTAGCTAACATTTGTATCGTTTATCATTCTGCCTTTAATGCATAAAAAATGTGTTGTTGATTGTGGTGATGATGATGCTGTTGTTGTTTTTGATGGTGATTTTTCAGAGATTTTTTTCATTGGATTACATTTTATTATTAAAAACAATTATAAATTAAAATATAATTAAACTATTAAAATATATTAATTTATATATTAATAATTTAAAAATATTCATGATATGTTAGACAGTTTAGCACGCTCGAGAAAAACTAATAAAATGATATTATGATGAAGATGGCAGCATCAAATTCAGGAGAACATCATTGAAAGTATCGACACCTAGCGAATATACGCATTTACAATACATCTTAAATACGAAGTTATCGAATTACGCAACAAATATTTGACGAAAGTCGATGATCGGGGAATAAAATTTTCAACAAAAACATGAACTTGATGACCAAGGGTGGATTTCCAAAAAAAGATGCCAACTGTGGGGGGGAAGATTTTCCTAAAAAAGGCGATGACCGAGTTGGGAGAGAAATTTATACAAAACTTGGTGACCGGAGGGGGTATTTTCATTTAATTTTTTTAGAAAATTTTTATGTGCTCACGAAGGGCCAACATTTACTGCTGATGGGCTTATAATGGCAATTTTACCTTCAGAGACACTACTTTTCACGTTAAAGCAAAGACTTTTACCATCCTTTAACACAAATAATGCTTAGGCTTACGTTACTCCACCGACCCCGCTAGATCCACAACTGGCAGGGAATGTTCATTTATGACGAATCCGAAAGAAATCAGTTTGAATACTCAGAGGATTGAACTGCGATTAAATTCTTTGTTGAGCAAATAACCATATAAATAAACATTTTATATTTTCGGGCAGAGCTGCCTGTACATCTCTGTCACCCAATTTTATCCTAGTCTTAGAAATTACCATCATTTCTGACGTAACCGTGCGAAATGCACCCTCTATATTCTGCAAAAAAACACAGTTTTTTTTAAATTGGCCCAAAATTGACATCAGTTGCAATAAATATTGACTTGGAAGATCTTCAGAAATTTTGCCGCTGTTATAAATCTCATTCTAAGGTTTTGTCACTTTTTCAATGCCAAATTCATCAAGGCATTTAATTTCTTCAACAACTATCTCATCTGGACCTGGCGCTTTATCTTTGGTTCTTCTACGTCTTTTTTAATAGGAGGCTTTTCGCCACGGTTATCATCAAAAAGATCATTAATGTATTTAGTCCATCTTTCAAGTACTTTTTCTTTCTTTTAGATTACTTCACCAGATTTAGCTTTTATGCATCCAAAAACGGTACAAGTCCTTCTTCCAGTGATTTCTTTGATGTTTTTATAAACTGCATTTCTATTACTGTTTTTGATCTTTTCACTAATTTTGCACTTGTCATTTAACCATTTCTCCTTTGCCTTTTTTGTAACTATCAGGATTGCAACCTTTAACTTTCCTTCGTTCATTCATCAGATATACGATGTCATCTGTTATCCATTTCTTCTTTGTTCCTTCACAGCCTATAACTTCTTTTGCTGATTCTGCGAGGGCATCTCTAAATATTTCACTATTAGATTTATATACACCTACGTCTTCCGTTTATAACTGAAAACGATTCCGTACTGCAACGTTATACTTGATCTTAATCTCATTATTATGTGACAGATTGACAAAATATGACAAAATTCAAACGTTTTGGGGCCACTTCTCTTATTATTTTTTTTAACTTTATCCTGATTTTACAAACAGCTACATTATGATCACTGCCACAATCAGGGTAACATTTGCATTTTTAAACAATATTTCGAATCATTAGGATCAACCACGTCATGTGTTTTTTCTGTGCCATCTTTTGCATTTAAGTCACCCATTATAATAACAATTTCTTGAGATTGACATGTTTTTAGAGCATCATCAAGATCACTCTAAGAAGCATCAAGGTTTACTTCACGGCTTTCAGACGTTGGCGCAATAAATTTGAATAACAGCTAGGTTGAAAGGTTTTGTAGGTATTTCGACCAACAAAACTCTATCTGACACCATCAAGAAACCTTCTAAATTTTTAGACATTTCTTTGTTCAATAGTACACCTACTCCTCTTTTGTGCGAATTACCTCCAGAGTAGATAAATTTGCCACAAACATGTACAAATGTTCAAATACTTAGCGATATTGGAAAGTCACGCAATGAGGTAAATTCTCAAATGCGGTCATTGAATAACATCATTGCATCATTATAGATATGTATATCCATGAGGTTATCCAATCCTCTTCAAAAAATATTTTCAAGTTACTTTTTTGTAATTCGCATTTTACCATAAAAATCAGCAACGAACAAGCACACAGCTGACCTAAGGACATTTTTTCTGCTTACCTCGCTAAGTAAATATCGTTTGGGCAGCGTAAAGTTTAAAATTAATTCATTAAATATTGAATTAATCCGTCTAATATTTTTACAAATATGCTTGGTCAGTAAATTTCATCAGTTTTTCCGCTGTTTAAAGGGACTTATGTACCCTACAGTGTCATATTTCGCTTTTCACTTGCAGGTTATTTTTTATTTATTTTTAAAATAATTTTTAGTTAAACTTTATTTTATTTATTTCAATTAATAATTGATATTAATAATTATGATTTTATATGATACATTCAAATAGTTACCTTATGATATAAGGCTTATATTTTCAAATTAGCAGTTTTTTTGATTTTGATTTGTTTTTTTATTAATATAATTAATTAATTTAATATTTATTCTATTTTTCAAGTCCATGTCATGTATTATAGTCTAGATAGATATTACATAATAAGTAGGTAGAGAAAAAATTTGACACATATTTTTTTATATATGTGACATATTTTTTACATATATTTTAATTTTAGTGGTATCTATTTGGTTTTCAAAATTTAAATTAATTAATTTAATAAATTAGTTAACTATATAATATAATTTCTTTAATCTTTAATAAAAAAATTTAGTAATAATATAAATAGATAATAGATAAGATATGTAACTAAAACTAATTAACATATTAATAATATAATATATAAAGATATATTATATTTGTAATTTATTACATTATTATTATTATCTTAATTAATTTTAGTTATTCTTTACTTCACTTTATTTAGAGTTTATATTTGATTGTCCTTAGATTAGAGTTTTAGATTTCGACTAAAAGGGTTCTTTTTGAAAATTTTCAATTATCTCATTCCATTACAACACATTTTCAAATAACACAGACATTTTGGGGTATAAGTATCAGTTTTGTTTGGGGACCTGTTGGTGATGGATTCGGATTTGTTGAGTCACTGTCAGAAAGTCAAGTTACAGCTGCTTGATGCCTTGTTGAAAAAGGAAAAACAATTGTGGATTTCTGGGGCATACGATTCCAGCAATAATAATCTAGTTAGTTCTTGGAGATTTGTATTATTTTTTATTTCATTTATCTTGTTTATTTATTTTTGGCCTTGTAGAGATTTGTATAATAAAACCTTTAGCCCTTCATGACCGGGGTTTGTATTATCAATGAACTCAAAAACGTAGGTGAGCATAGCCTCTACTAGAGGCCTTCTAACTCAAGCATTATTTTTTCAATTGTTTGATGCGGTTTAGTCTTTGAGGCTTTTTCCACTGGCCTTATAAATTGTCTCTTAAGCCTAATTTTTTTTTCAACAGAATCCGGCTGACAAAAAAATTTGGTAAAAAACATTTGGCAGCTAAAATTTCATTTCTAATTCGGCGGCTTATGGCTAGCCATAAAATTTCTCAGCAGATTTTTGGCGCAAAGAAAAAGTGCAGCAAATTTGGCTTTTGGTGGCAGTTTATGAGTCTATAATAAATAGAACAATATGTAAATGGGTAAAATAATTTGAAATGGAAGTTGAAAAATAAAGAAAAATCACCTTTTTTAATAGAAGTAGCATGAAGCACTAAATGTTTTAGTACTGTTCTTAGCATTATTTATTTACATCAATTAGCATTCATTAAATTTTCATTGAGAAAAGGCATAAAAATGTGTCAATTTAAAGTCATAGTTATAATAAGAAGGATAACATGAGGCTGTTATGAGATTTGAGGTTGTTATTATTATTTATAATAAAAGTAAGTTTGGATGATAAAGCTGTGAGATGTTAGCTGTAGTAAATAAACATTTTTGACCATAAAAGTTTGTCATTTTTTAGCTTCTATTCTATTAAGAAATTGTTCATGACCTAAATAGTTGCATATGAAATTATTTTACTCTACATGGCCAGCAACATGGGATCAGCAGTGTGGACAGGCGTATTGTCGTCTGGTGGATGATGAGGACGAGTCGTTTGCTGAGGTTTTCAAGGGAGACTATGTTTCTTTCCATTGCAATATTTGATAAGTTCCTTAGATTGGTCAAGGTTGGTGATGATGAGGATGAAAAGAGTGATGAAGGCTTATTGTGCTGATCTAGGTGGTGACAATAAAATGTTAAGAATGATGATTAACATTATGGCAACTAGGGTAATAATAGTGGTGATGATAATGTAATAATCACAGTAAAAAAACAGGGAATGGTTAACATTAAATAGAAACAAAATAATGTTGTTAAAATTCAATAATAAAGATAATAGTATTAATAATATATTATGTAATAATAGTATTATAAGATCGTAAGTTTTTTTGACTTGGGCATGCATGATGCGATCAAATAGCAAATATTAATTTCAATTCAATAAACCAGCCTAGATGATGATGGAATGTTATCATTTACTTTGTGATGATGATGTACAGTAGAAATAATATTATTAATTGGAAACAACATTTTGCTAGTCACTCCATTAAACGCTGTCACTTGCATCCACGACCATGCAGGTTCAGCCAAAGTATCTGAAGTGTATAGGTTTGACTTGTTTATATCTGGCCTCCAAAGTCATTGAAGAAGATGATGTAAGATGATTTTTGAACACATTGTTTTTTATAATGCTCATGCTAGGCAATTCGCTCTGATTTATTTATTGGCTGTGATGTTCAGGTGGAGTTGTGCTCCAACATTCATGAAATAGAAATGTATCTTCCTATATACTTAGCCGAGAAGTATGTACCTCTCTCTACCAGTGTGGCGAGAAAAATATTTATTTATGTAATAATTAAATGTGATTATTACAGCACATGATCAAGAGTCATGTGGTGATGAAATATCTTGTCATATGCAGGTAATACCAAGTACGAGGGAGTTGATTAGATTGTCTGGTTGTACGTACTCCCCTAGAGAGGTGTGTCGCATGGAGCTCTGCATACTAGATAATCTTCAATGGAATGTTAATCTGGTTACATCCATTAATGTTCTTCATTTGGTTAGTTAGTTTGGTTAGTTGGTTGAGTGATTGATTAATTGACTGGTTGACTGATAGGCACCTCAGAAATCTGAATATTTTTTAAGAATAGTAGTTTTGTTAGCTGTTACTTTCGATTCACTAGAAGCTGGAGTGCCAATGAAAATATTTCACAAACTACATATATATGAATAAAGAAATCACCTAATATATGAGTTCAAATGTTTTTTGGACAATGTCAACGATTGATCTTTATCAGTTTTCACATTGATATTATTTTTCAAAAGCAAGAAAAAACAGGATACTATCTCAACATAATTGTTTTCAAGTGATAGTTAATATCAGACACCTCAAATTTTTTCATATCGCTAATATTATAAAAACTACTACATGTTCTTGTTTGGTGGATTTCTTACTTTATGATTTTTGCTGGTTTCCAACAAAATAATGAGTGAATGATGACTACCAGACTTAATAAAATATGTTACAAATATTTATTAATAGATGTTATTTATTTGTTTTATTCAATATATATTTCTGATGAGTGTTTTAGCAAAGGCATGCCTGCATTTAGTATTTATTATGGGTTCGATTTTATCAATGTTCATTGGCTAAATCGCATGGTTTGCAATATTTATCTCTATTTATTTTTTCATTTATGCGAGCAGCTTTACAGTCTCTTCCTAAGTCATTGCAAAGCTGACAGAATTTTTGAGAATCAGCAGCACATCCATTATCTTTACATCATGACGAAATTGTTGAAAGACAGCTTGCTGCATCACCAACTCCTTGTTTACCCACCATCAGTCCTTGCTCTCTCTGTGCTCACTCTGCAGTTGAGTGTTGTGTGGCCGTATTGGAAGGCTGCCAAAGATGAACTCATAAGTCTGATGAGGGTTAGTACTTGGTTGTTCTTGTTGTTAGTTCTGTTTTGTTAGTTGTTGTCTGCTGTTGATTGCTCATCGTTGTCGTTTTTTCACTTTTGGTTTTTGTTCACTATTTTTGTTGTTTGTTCACAGTTTGATTGTTGTTGTTGTCTTTTTTCAGAAACATAAAAGTTAATCTCGTGATTAAAAACAACTGCACCAGTAAGTCAGAATTGATAATGGATCATAGCCATCTAATATATTCGTTCAAATGTAATATTGGTGAGTGTGGGCACCATAATTCTGAATATATTGGCATGACGACAACCAAGCTATCGAGAAGACCCATGATGCACGTACAAACTAGCGCTATAAAAAATCACGTAAAAGGGAAACACAAAACTAAAATTACTAGACAAATCTTGGACCACAATGTTGAAATCTTACATTACAACCATTATAATTTACGACTAGCCGAATCAATATTCATAGAACGAAGACATCCAATAATAACTATTCAACAACGTGCAATTGGAATCCTTCCCACAAATAAATTTGGAAACAGAGGAATCATCCATAAGGATGATACATAAAAGTGTCATATTGCACAAAGTTGAAGATTGTAAAACTAATTAAGGGATCGTTAAACAAAGAATTAACTTTTTTTCATACGCAAAACCACTTACAATGTTACAGATATATTATCTATATATCTTTTATTATGTTCTTCATATCTTTATGCATTGATTTGAAGCAGCCATCTTCGCCACAAAGGCTGTTTATCCTTTTCACACGACGTACACATGTATTTATGTGCACGCGCAAGCACCGCATCATATACGCTGAGTATATGATAGTCATTGAGATGTTTGACTCATTTGAACCACTGATCCATCTCGCCGGCCAACATGTGACAACGGTTGAAGTATTCTCTCCACTGTAGCTTGATCTCATCTTGTTCAAGAACCATCTCATTTTTGTCATTTTTGATACATGAGGCACCAACTATGTTTTTTTCGTATGCTTTGCTTGTTTTGCTATACGATACAGAGATTTCATTGGTTCACCTTTGCTTTTAGTGAGCTACTCTCTGCACTGATCTGTCTGAGCCATCTTGCATAGTTGTTCTTCTCACGGAAATATTTATGGTCATCAACAGACTTTGATTTTTGCCATTGCTTGTATGCAGCTTTCTTTTCTTTCAGCTGTTGCATTTTGTACACTGTCATTCCACCACCATGTGTCCCGTTCATACTGACGTTTTGTATCTATTTTCCCACAAACTGTAGTTGCAGCGTTTATCAAAACGGTTTTGTATGTACTCCAATCTGTACTGGTTTGCGATTGGTGGTCTAACTGTGTGGCGACAATCTGTTGAAATTTTTCTTGATAAATATTGTTTTTCAGCTTCCACGTTTTGATTCTCCGAGGCATTTGTTTAGACTTATGTTTTGACAGTTCGACAACCAGGTCTGCCACAAGGTGTTTATGTTGGGCGACACGTGATTCTCCAGGTATAACTTTGACATTTTTGAATAACCTTCGGTTTTGTTGCTTGACAGTGAAGAAATCAATTTGCGTGGCTGATGGTCCACTTTTGTATGTTATGAGATGTTCCAACCTCTTTCTAAAATATGTGTTCAGTAAACAAAACCCGTGACTTTCAGCAAACTCAAGGATGCGGTTGCCATCTTCATTCCGTTTTCCATAGCCAAAACCGCCATGTACGTTGTCAAAACCATCTGTTTTCTCTCCAACGTGGTCATTGAGATCGCCTCCAATCAGGATTGTTTCAGATTTTGGTATTGTTGTGATGGTGTCAGAGAACGCAGCCCAAAAGTCATTTTTCATCTCTTCTGATTGGAAAAATTTAAAATTAAGGAAATATTAATATTAATAAGTTATTTATTTGATATTTAACCGATTAATAAAAGATCTTTAATAAGTACACGTTGGGTATATTTGTTAACATAATTCAATATTATGAAATTACTAACCACCTGATTATCCTTGATTGACAGATGGATGAAAAGCAAGTGAACGACTGCTGTCAAACCGTCATCTCCCTCATGTCAGATATCCTGCATTCCTCTGTCAAGTCAACTCGACGTCCCAGGTCTGCCAGAAAATTGCTGAAACGAAAAAGTGAGGATGACGAAGATCTGACAGAGGGAATCAAGAAGTTGTACACTGAAGATGATGACTACGACAAAGCTGGTGGTGGCAAAACTAGCTTCCAATTTACTTCTGGTAATGCTTTGATGTTATCAAACCCTTCGTCGATTTCATCATCTTCATTTTCCGGGATTGTTGCTGCTAAGGTTAAGTGTGGATGTGAAGTCAGTTGGTTTGATCCTAGACATTTCAGCATGAAATCTGGAAAAGCTACTTAATTGCTGGCATGCCCATGTGCTGCTTCTATGTGGAATGATGATGAAGAAAGAAAAAGTTGTTAGGCTTGCACTTACTTGTCTTGTTCTTTGTGGTCCTTGAAAGTTGTTTGGGGTTATTTTACATTATCTAGAGTGTGTTGGGGGTGGATATATCAGAGGCGCTGAATAGCCAATATGTCAACAAAAATATCAAAGTTTCATCTTTAATGATTTAATATTTTGCAGATTTAATGCAAAACTCAAATAATTGTTATAATTTTGTTATCAAGTCTCAAAAAGTCAGTCAGTTGTTTATTAACTCCCTTCCTTGCACATGTTTATTTTTGCAAATTTGTTGAAAATTATATTGTTGATATATTTTTTAATAGCGATTTGTACGTGGTGTTGATCATGATTATGGTATGGCAAGTTGGTATTTAGATAGTCATGTAGAGTGCTAAAAATGTATTTTATACAAATGTTTGTGTGCATGTGTGCATAGGAACATATCTTATATCGTCGTAAGTACAAAAAAAACATTAAAAATAATATAAATAACCAAATAAGAAAAGATTTGTTGTATTTTGTTTTTGTTATATTCTGTATTTTCAAGTTGTATATAAGGCTATTTTTTTCAATATTGTTCAATTTTATTGTTGTCTTATTGGTTGCATAATGAAAAACAATTTTATAACAAAAAAAGTTGAAACATTTTTGTTAGAATTCATAAATTGTATGTAAAACGTTCAAAAAAAATTATAAAAAAATTAATAAACTACGGATTAAAAAAAATTTTTTTATGAGAATATTTCCATCGTTAAATGGTGTTTTTCGAGCTTTGTTGTTTTCAATTATTTTGTTAAATATTAGCTGATATCTACTATATTTTCGATTATTGGTTTTAATTGAACAACTGGCGGAAACAGTTTCGTCATTTTCTTTCTCCTGTTTCTTTCAATGATGCTGTCATAGTTAACTGTGCACACATGTAATATTACAGGCGTATGTATATATATACTATATTTGGCTAACTGGTGAATGCTTGTTAACGTTTTTTTGTGAAAAGTGAAATGATGTTCAAGAAGTTACTGTCATGCAATAAAAGCGTCTGCAACAAAACTAGTTCGTTTTTGTAAAAGATAGCATCGCTTTGGTGTGTTCTTGTAAACAATTTAAATTAAAACCGTCGACACTGCTGGTTGTGCATGTGCATTCATGGCGTGTGGTGGAGAACGTGAGTAGTAACATCGGATAATTTATGAGGTTTTGAGGCTTACTGGGACTGATGCAAATGTTAACAAGCAACTGTGATGTGATCTTATTTTATAAGTTTGAAATGAAGTTCTGTAAATAGGAGTAAATGGGTGTTCAGTTTAGAAGATGTGCGAGAATGAAGTAGGTGGCATCAATATCGAGCTCCACAGCTATGGAAATGAAAGATTCAGAAGAACAACTTTGTCCTGATTGAAAGGAATTTGGAATTAAAAAGCGTAGCCAAAATTTTATTTCAGCTAGAATGGATTTAAACACGGCATAAGACGCTAAATTAAAATAGTTTGTGACTTAGTAATATATATATATTATCGCTCGTCGGTAGCACGTGCAGGCCGTATTTTAATTTGCTCCGTATTTTTTCATAATTTCATAGTGAGTATTTTGTTTAAATTTAATTCCATTTGATAGAGAAAATTCTGACGGATTCAGTGATATAATTTGTTTGCGTTAATTGCTGTAAGCGCTATAGGATAGTCGTTAGAACCTGTATTGTTTTTATTCCGAGTTGCGAGTTGTGTTGCTTTTAGGCATTAATTTTTACAGACTATTAGATACAGTGACATATTTTAATCTTGAATATGTCAAAAGATAAATGCAACAAATGTAAAGTTAAAATTAAAGAAAGTAACAAAGAATTAATTTGTTGTGGCGTACGCGGGGACGGCTTCCACATCAAATGTATTCCGACCGATGCTCAAGTCTTGACAGCAGTAGTATCCGATCCTAATTTGTTTTGGCTCTGCAAAAGCTGCGTTAAGAACATCAAAGAAGGTTTCAAAAAAATTTGTGATCTGCAAAAATCTCAAAGTGAAATAGTTTGTAACCAAGATAAGCTTACTGATGAACAAAGTTCTTTTTGTCGCGAGTTGGCTTCAATTGACGCAAAGTTAAGCGAAATGGCCAACAAAATTGTTGAATTTGATAAGTCGGTAACAAATGTAAACACGCAGATTAAAGATGTTGAAGGGGGTTTGAAAAAGAATTGGACTGAAGTTGTAAAGGGAACTATCAAAGAAGAAGTTAAATCGACTACGGTGGCTCTGAACAATGTCGTCAAATCTATTAAAACCGATGTCGAAACAATCAACCGTGAGTGCATTGCTGTGTTATTTTGGCTCAGTGAAGGTGAAACTAACTGCTGATGCGCGCAATGATGATAAGAAGATTGTTATGAATTTGCCGTCAACCATTACTAATGATGAAATCAAGGAAAGCGATATTAAGAAAATGTACAGAATTGGCAAACAAGGTGTCAACCCACGTCCGATGTTGATTGAGTTTAAAGAATAGTCTATGAAAAACATGATGATGAAAAATCGTGTGAGGAAGAAACAATTGAGTGATGAATTAAAAAATGTCAGCATATGCCATGACTTCACTAAAGAACAGCGTGAGAAATGTAAAAAAAACTGGTAGCTGAAGCAAAAGATAAACGGAAACAGGAGTCGGGGTAATTTTTGTACAAGGTGATGGGAGATCCATCAAATTTGAGAATAATAAAAATACAGAAAAATTCTAATAAAAAACTAAAGCATACTAACCCTGATTGTGACTCTATGGTTTTCAATTCTTCTGGTAATGTCAATAAAATAAAGGTGGGTCTCTTAATTATTAGATCCTTTGGTCCAAATGTTGATACTATTCATGGGTTGCTCAATGATGACTTGGATGTTTTGATGCTTAATGTAACTTGGCATAAACCATCTGATAATGACCCTGCGCATGTTGGCTTGGTAACGTATTTTAGAAACCACTTTAAATGTGTAAAAATTCCATTGCCAGTGATAATTACATTTGAAGCGATATGTTTTAAATTGACACCACAGAAGACTTCAGTAGTTTTTCTGATTATTTATAGGCCAGGTTTTGCTCCTCCTGCTAAATTATTTTCCGAAGAATTCATTTTAGTTTAAAAACAAATCACACTTTTATGTTGCAGTATTGTAGTTCCAGGTGACTTCAACATACACGTAGAAACTCTTTCAGATGCACCAGCCCTTGTTGATGTTTTCTTTAGTTTTGATCTAGTCAATAGAATAAATCAGTCTACCCATGTGCTTGGTGGTACCCTGGATTTGATTGTTACATCTGATGGTTTTTGTTAGAAGATGTATTGGTGTATCCATCTGGTATCTATTTAGATCATAGTTTAGTAACTGGTCAATTTTTAATCAATCGGACTCCAGTCATTTTCAAGAAATCGTGGATCAGGTCCTGGAAACGAGTGGATAAAAAACGTCTGACTGAGCTTTTTAGGTGCTCATCTATCTCAAAATATTAAGGTCAGGATAATGATGTTGAATTTGGTTTTAAAATATTCAATGAAGAGCTTTTAAAAATAGCTGACGGTGTTGTTCTACTTCATGAAGTTCGATGGAAACATGTCCCGACTGCACTATGGTTTGACAGCGACTGCAAAAAGGCTAAGCAAATGTGTCGATAAAAAAAGAAGGTTCAGAACTACTGGTTGTTATAATGATAAAGTTGATTAGGTATTGGCAATGAAACAAAAAAATGTTTGTTACTCAGCGAAACGAAGGAGTTTTTAGTTCGCGAAAACATGTCAATTCAAAAATAATTCCAAATACTTATGACAAATAAATAATAAGTTATTAAAAAGAGTCAAGTGTTGAAAATGAAGTTGGCTCAATGCATAGTGTCGATGATTTAAAAAAAATTTAACTGACAAGTTAAAAGTGACAAAAAAGAATGTTTTAATTCTTCAGTTATTTCTCTTAATACTAATATTGTTTCCATTCGAATCATTTCCAGTGTTGACTGAAAAAAAGATATCTAAAGTTGTTAATTCGTCACCTACAAAGTCATGCTCACTGGACCCAATACCGACGTATGTATTCAAAGAATATACTGACTGTTTTATTGTCTACTTAACGGATATAATCAACATGTGCTTAACGAAAGGTGTAATGCCACAGGTTTGGAAGGATGCGACTGTCACGCCAATTCTAAAAAAGACAGGATTAGATAAAACAGATTTGATAAACTATAGGCCGGTGTCAAATTTGTCTTTCGTTTTTAAGATATTCTAAAAAAGACAGGATTAGATAAAACAGATTTGATAAACTATAGGCCGGTGTCAAATTTGTCTTTCGTTTTTAAGATTATAAAACTAGTTGAGCTAGTTATGAAAAATCATATAAATAAAAATGGTATATGGCCATTGAATCAATCTGGATATAGATGGTTTCATTCGACCGAAACAGCTCTATTGGATGTATTTTCTTATGTTTATTCAGCAGTTAATGTACAAAAAGTAATATTGTTGACATTCCTAGACATGAGTTCGGTGTTCGATACTGTGAATCATAAAATCCTGTTGGACAGACTGAAATATAGTTATGGTTTAAATAAGATTGCGTTAATGTGGTTCGAATCATTTCTTACTGGCCGGACTCAGCAGATTTCTTACTCAGGTGGTCTCTTTGAACCAATGAAACTTATGTCAGGGGTGCCTCAAGGATCTGTTCTTGGACCGATTCTCTTTAATTTGTACGTTGCAGAGATATTGGATTTACTGAATAAAGGTGGTTATTATTGCCATGGGTACGCAGATAACATGCAGATTTGTGTTTTATGTTTTTCAGTCGTATTAGAGAAACTGAAAAAAAACTATATCTGATGTCGGCTCGTGGCTGGGTCAAAGTAAGTTAAAGTTGAATAAGACTCAGTTAATGTTGACTGGTACATGGCAACAAACATCAGCGGTTGAGCGTTCATCGATAAACATCAGTATGACTGATATAAGTTTCAGTAAAACGGTCACCAATTTGGGAATTGTGATGGATATATTGATATATATCGGATTAAGACTGTCAGAAATGCAATTATTGATAAAAATTACAGCATGTTCTGCATTAGTTAACTTCCAATTTAACTTTTCGATTTTTCTAACGGTTGATCGTAAATCATTTTCAAGCTTCTTTAGTTCAAAACAAAAATTTTTGTTTGTTTTATGCATGATATGGCATGGGAGGTCAGATAAGTTTGCTGTTCGATGCGCGATGCCCCCTGGTTATAAGTTTGTAGATTACGTTAGACCTCACGATCCATATCATGGCGGAATTATAATTTATTTCAAGAAAGAGTTCATTTATAAACCTGTTGAATTACCCGCCGTGATTACTTTTGAAGCTGTTGCAATTAAATGGAGAGTAAACAAATCAGATTTTATTTTGTTATCAATTTATAGACCTGGATCGGTTCCTCCTTCACCATCGTTCTTTTCAGAGTTAGCGAATGTTTTAGAAGTTTAATCACTGTTAAGTGATGAAATCGTTGTTGCGGGAGATTTTAATGTTCATATGGAGAGGAAAGATGATCCAAACACAGTCTCATTGAATGATGTTTTCGATTGTTTTCAGTTGGTTAACAGAATTAACGAACCAACGCATGAATTAGGTGGTGTTTTTGACTTGATCGTTACTTCTCGCTCTTTTCCTATCTTTAATAGTTTGATTTTTCCCAGTGGAGTGTTATCAGATCATGGATTAATCCAGGTTTGTTTGTCAATCAATCAAGTTATAGGTACAAGAAGTAAAAAAATGGTTCGATCCTGGCGACGCATAAATGAAGAAAATCTCCGATTGGAGGGCCATGCCAAGATGATAATATAGAAACGCTGTTGGGGATTTTTGTTAATGAACTGAAGAGAATTGCAGACATAATAGCTCCAGAACACGTGGTTTAAAGTCGAGATGATTTGTTGACGCCGTGGTTTGATGGAGATTGCTCAAAGTCTAAGGCATACTGTAGAAAAATGGAAAGGAAGTACAGAAAGACTTTAAATCATCATGATAGGGAGGTGTGGAAAAATACTCTGCAATCAAAAAATATTTTATTCTGTGGTAAATAAACTGTTGTGCAAGAAAAAAACTTCAAATTCATATCCCAATTTTGAAGTGAAGGATTTTGCTACATTCTTTTATGACAAAATTTAAAATGTACGAGAATCGATGGTGTATGATGAGAAATTTAATCATTCATCTGGTGTCTGCTGCAACAACTTGTTTTCAGTTTTTTCTGTTTATGACGAAAACGAAATTGTCGAAGCAGTTTTGAACTCTCCATCTAAAACATGTTCACTGAGTTGTGTTCCTTCACACTTTTTCAAAAAACATGTAAGATTGTTTTCAAAATATGTTATGTTTACTTACTGGTGAGTTTCCGGTTATGTTGAAGCATGCTACAATTTCTCCTCTTTTGAAAAAGGAAAAATTACACAATTCTGATCTTTGTAATTATAGACCGGTTTCAAATTTGTCGTTCTTGTCAAAATTAATTGAAAGATTAGTTTCTAAGAAGCTTATGAAACACTAAGATAAAAACAATTTGTTACCGGTATATCAGTTAGGTTATAGAAGACATCATTCTACCGAAACTACTTTGTTGCATGTGTTATCTAAATTGCATGAAAATATAAACGACAGCAAACCATCTCTTCTTGGATTCAATGATATGAGTTCGGCATTTGACTGTGTCGACCATTGCATTCTTCTGAAACGTCTTAATCATAGATTTGGAATAACTGGTTCTGTCGAGCAATGGTCGTACTAAACAGATAGAACTCAGCAGGTAATCTACAAGAATAAGACCTCTTCGGTTTAAACGATAAGATTTGGTGTTCCACAGGGCTCGGTTCTCGGACCGATCTTGTTTATTCTTTACACCTCTAAAATTATTGAGGCAATCAGATTACATGGTTTGGAGTGTCATGCATTTGCAGATGATATTCAGCTGTTCGCCACAGAATCGTCTAGCAACTTTCGTCTTGCAGTTGATCGTTTTGTTAAATGTTCGGTCGAGATCGAGAAATGGATGACAACTAATCGTCTTAAGCTCAATCAAAGCAAGACGCAAATTTTTCTGGTTGGAGCTTGGCAACAACTGTCTAGAATGAAAATTAATTCAGTTATCATTGAGGGCTCAAATATAAACTTCATTCCTAAAGCTACAAACTTGGGTGTCATTTTTGATTCTAGGCTGGCAATGACAGAACATATCAAGTTTTTATCTGGTACTGCAACCCTACAACTGCGAAAATTAAAAATAATCTGCAAAAGCTTAACCAAAGATGTTCTTCAAAGTTTAGTGCATTCGTTTATTCATTCTAGATTGGATTACTGCAACAGCCTATTTTATGGTTTACCTGAAAAATCGTTATCTGTGCTTCAGTCAATTCAGAATCGGGCAGCTAAGATCGTGGATGGTGCAAAAAAGTTTGACCATGTTACCCCGATATTCAGAAAACTGCACTGGTTGATGGTCAAAAAAAAGAATTTTGTTCAAAATATCAACATACATGTTCAAATGTATGAAGGGAGTGGTGCCAGTTTATTTGAAAGAAATACATGCACCGAAACAACTGTCTTAAAACTGTCTGCTTAAGGTCTGATGATAGAAACTTGTTGTATGCCCCAAACCAACTTGAAAATGGCTGAGAGAAATTTCTCAGTAAGTGGACCAGCCGTTTGGAATAGTCTACCAAGTTATCTATGACAGCCTGAACTGGCAGGAAAATCGTTCAAGAAATTATTGAAATCATTTTTGTTTTCATTATAAGATTTGGTTTATCGTAGCAATTTGACTGTTTTTAGACAGTGCTTTTTAGAAACATTTTGTTTGTAATTAGCGCTATACAAATTTTTGAATAATAATAATGATAAAACAGAAAGGCTTTCTTCGGTATTCCTATATACCATCTTCGTTGTTCAAATGTTGTGTTTGTGCCCAGTTGCTCATATATATATATATATTTTTCATTTTTTTATGATCAACAACATATCAAATAAGTGAATAAAAGTTATGAAGTTGAATATGCGGAGACCGAGACTGGTCTTGTGGTGGCCACCGCAGGTAGATATAAGAATAGTTAATGAAGTAAAATAAGAAAAATAACTGAGGCAAAAAAATAATTGAAAACAATTAAGTAAATGTTCGTGTTATACATATATAGACATTTAAATAAGTAAATGTTCGTTCAGTACGTATATAAACATATAAATGTTTAACCATTCATAAAGACCATTCACCGCATCCTTTGTTCTCACGTATTCATAGTATAGTATTAGGTGGTGTAGTCGAGTTTCAGTGTCAATAAAAAAGCACGAAATTTTGACTTGAAATGTTGTAGGTTTATGATGGCTCTTAAATGGAAAGGTACAAGTTCTATCCAGATTTTAGGACCTGTTATTTTTATGCTTGTCTCAATTGATTTGAGGCGAGTTTTGTAGATATAGAAGAGTGGGCGGCTGTGTCTAGTGGTTGTTGATTGGATGGAGTTACTTAATGTGTAGAAGTTGATAAAGTGAGGTGGGAGAAGATTGTTGATAAATGTAAAAACGAATAAAGCAGAATAGTAAAGATCGATGAAGTTAAGTGGTAAAATTTGTTTGCTAGGAAGAAGGGTTTAGTATGAGAATCGGG